TCCAACCCTGAAAAGCAGCTTCAGGTGCAACAACTTGGCTTCCCGACTACTTGCTTCTCCTTAGAATCTCTGCATCTCACCACGTCAGACACTTCTGCCACTTTCAGCAATGCAGTATGCCACCCGTATTAGTCTGCCCAATCTCAAGTTTACATGGCGTATTTTGAAGGCGGCCATATATAAAAAGGCAAACTGCAGATACAATGGCATTTCTGGAAATACCTTAAGTTACTAAGCTTGTCCTGACTTACTCCTACAGAGAAACTAATGCTCTAATTTTAAAAAAAACCCTAGTCATTGAAACCTATCTGAGGGAACATATGGCTCAGGTGGTGCTACCAGGGCTAGTGAACAGAGATCTTTGGCTCTTAAAGGATGTTAAAAATAGAACAATCACTGTCTAGATGCACAAACCTGGCTGCACGACAGGACATAATTTTAAGAAGCACACCAGGTATCTTGGAAGTCTTATTGTGTAATCTATCAAATTTCATCTTCAAGGACTGGAGCTAGATATAGGCTTTCATGCTCCTTCTGAGTCTGAACGGAGAAGAAAAAAAAAAAAACAAAAAAAAACCTCCCAGATAGTCAAAGTCCCGAGCAAGGTGAGCTGAAATACAGACCAGCTTTCAGAGCACCCTGACGTCTGGCTGAGAGATGTCACATTCATTAGGATGGGTATACAGGCAGGGGGAGAGATTTAATCGCACGTTTCCAAGCAAATGTGACCTAAAAGGATTTAAGAAAAGTTACATTTTCTCAACAGTCATTGCAAAACCTATATAAACCCCAAACATTTACTCAGTCATAAACTGCTTATTAAGACATTACTTTAGTTGTCAGAAGTGCGTAACTGTATTGCCTAATCCAATCAGGTGTGGCAAAGATAAAGCAATATAATACCTAGACCCGAGCCACAGAAATATCCCTTAGGCCCAGTTCTCCTACTAAAAGATGCTCATTGAAAAGTCTAACTAGATGTCGTGGACATTTGTTCTAGCATGAATATGAGGTAGAAAAAAAATAACCCATGTTTGGACACAGTAACTGCAATATCAGATGTATGCACAATGCTGACACCGACTAATAAATAAGAGCATTCCTTATAAAATTGCCTTTACTGCATTTTTGCTACACAATGAAACATTTCTACATCAAGTGACATTTTTCTGATTATCAGTAAAAGGTTTTTACAGAGCTTGCTTGACTATGCTGAAGGTAATATTTTTCTCTCCTACTCTCCTAATCTGATTTAAAAGCATCTCCTGGTAGGGCACTAGTGAATGTATTGGATGATCCCTCTTATTACAGCGGTACATCCCAGCTGCCCCTTCCAATAACAACAAAAATGAATTATGAAAATTTCCTCTCTGTTAAATTACCATCAAAATTCTTGGTGTTAGCAAAGGATGTTGCTATGTTTATTTATACCAGCAAGAGAACTAGCCCCTAAATGTTTATATTATGTTTCTGTCAGACACAAGATGACAAAAGCTATTGCAAATACCCCAGAATCTGGAAATACATTTTGCCTTCCTTAGAGAGAAGGGCACTTGGTGCAAAATTTGTGAACCTCAGTAGTCACATTTTTTAACTGTCTCCTGGCTGCAACTTTACCTCAGGTGCATGATAAATAACGTTTTAAAATTATAGATGCAAGTCATGTATTTTGCAGACTCAGCTGTGTCTCTTCTCCCTCCCAATTTAGCAACAAACTAAGTTTTAAGTCATTTATTTGTAATACCAGCAACTTACTACTTTGCTGTTCTGTTACTGATTTTTATGATTTGATACAAAGATAAATAAAACAACTCTAACCAAGGTGCTCCAGTGGCAACGGTGGTCATCCTTCAGTATTTTGCAAAAGGTCAAAAAGACACATATTCTTTTGACAGGGAATTTACAACAATTTTACCAGAAAGTTAAAGTGAATGCCAATATTTAATTCAGATCCTGTATGCTCTAATATGAAGGGGCTTTAATTCTTGTTAAAAGATATATTAATAAACAGAAAATTGTGACATACAAGCCAAGAGCAGCAAATAAGGTAGAAGTGTCCTTTGGTGGAGTTTCACTGTCCCAGAGGAAATTCCCCTTACCCTACAGAGATATAACATAGCGTAACTAGACCAAGTTACCACTGGATATGAAATGAAATCTCATTTATATTACATGCAACTCCAGCAAAATGTATACCAATCCTTTCAAATCTATTTCCCAAAGCTTCTTACTACTAATGCCAGTGGAAAAGAAAAATGGACAGCATGTATATATCCTATATGTGTATGTATACTGTTATACACACACACACAGAGAATAGGTTAAATCTTTTTACTTCAAGCCAGTTATGCTATAATTTATTTACTGCAGAAAGCCATAGGAGACCAGTGCACTGCAAGCATTGTTCAAAAAGTTAAGGAAAAGTTACATTTTTGATTTCCAAGAGGAAGGGTGGTGACCTATAAAGTTGTAAAGGAAACCACTCACAGGGTTACTTCAATACCCTTGCTAAAAATAGCCTCCTGGAATTATAAGAGTCTCTTCCTTATCCTGCTCAGAACAATTGGAAAATTGAAGATCATTTAAAATATGTTATTTTAATAGATTAAAAAATAAAATTAATGGAGACAAAAAACCCCAGTTCTTACTTATGGAATTGCACTGCTCATATCTCTGATTCCTCTGATAGTTGCATCTCGATTTAGCAAGGGGAAAGAGTAGCCCAAATTACAGAATGGGTACACTTAATGCGTTACAGATCCTGAACAGTCATTCTCTCCCAAAGACTTTACTTTTCAGTTTATCCTAAAGTCACAGGGGACAGGCTTAACTTAAGCCAAAATAAACACTGAATGCTAGAAGCTCTCGGGTGAACAACACCAGACTGGATTTGACATAAACTGATGATTATTTTTTTTCCCTGTATGATCAGATAAAATCCAAAATAAATGCTATATAAGCATTTTGTAAAATATGGGACAATGATAAAATTGAGTTTAGACTGTAATTTCTTCTACAGTGTAATCATCACAGGGATTTGTGTGATAAACGTAGCAGCACATTCCCTCTTAGCCCATATTGCAATTACATGGACTAAACCCAGCAAGACAGGGCATACTGTTAGCTGGGGAATAAAAACAACGAGGAAGAGGGGGAGGGGGGAGAATTTGTAGAAGAATGCATTGTGCTACCCAGCTGAGCAGCAAACACTGCAGCAGCAGACACTAATACAGCCACTTTCTGCCCCTCCCTTTTCATCTGATCCCGCAGTAAATTCACAGCTGCAAACACCTGAGATAGGAAACGATGTGTGCTTTAACTATCCATGACAAACCAGAACTTTTAAAATCTTCCAGATCCAAATTACTACCTTCACAAGGTCTTTGTCCTCTGTATTTCAGAAGGACACTGTTTTTTCACTAACACAGTTGTAGTGCCCAGGCAGGTAACAGGGTGCAGCGTGCCCGGGGAACAAATCAGTTGGGCAGGTGACTCTGCAAGTACACGGAGCGAAGCCTCGCTCCAGACAGGATCAACAAACTTGGCACCATGGTATTGGCTACAAAATCCTGCACTATTAACCCAGGTGAGAGAGAAGGGTTCATTTCCAACTTCTTCTACTGATCCTTTCTCTGGCAGCTTATTCCTGCTTTGCAGAAGGTCCAGCAATTTAGACTAATGAAACTGGTTTCATAGGACATGGACTGGTCATGCATATCTTTTCCCTATTGCTCAGGTTTCTTTTTTATAACACAGAAGATGAACCCACAACTGCTAAAGCTCAATGATAGCAGGCCTCACCTTAGCGACAGAAAACCTGATTAATTAAATGGCCTTTGGGGTATCTTGTTTTAACACTGAAAGTGTGAAAGTTAATTCCTAAAAAAACCCAAAGTAAACATCACGTGACTCAGAAGAATCTTCTGCCCATAGTGAACTACCAAAGAGGTGAAATTTGGAAAAAGTTAAATGTATCCATGGAAATGTAAGATCCCTCAAATAATTTTAAAAAGCAACTATCAAAGACATGACAGCACAGATCCAAACCCATATAAAAGAGTTAGTAGGCAGGAATCCAGTGCATACCATTTTTAAAAAGCTACATCAGAGCACTGCACCATCAGCAAGGAATTGCAGACTTACCTATATGTAAACTGGGGCCAAGTCCTTACACTCCAGAACACCCACCTCTGAACACACATCCTGCTTATTCCTCTGTGGCTGTCACGATAATGCTATTTACTCCTTGTAGTTAGCACTGAACTTTTCTCAGCAGTTCACAGTGCAAAGGCAAGCTTCTCTCGCTGACCCCAGCCCCACCAGCGTGCCCCACACCATGGCTTTTCACCCCCAAACCACCACACCCCACCTCTGCCAGGTGTGCTTAATTATACCGGTCTTCTACAAGCTGGGAATATACAGAGCTGGCCACACCATCATTACTTGCAGGTTGTCCTCTGGTACTCAATTTCCAGGTTACCCCCCCCCCCAAAAAAAAAAAAAAAACAAAACGCCTTCTTTCCTCCTGATTTACGACTCGGCTTCACGGGAACCTCCCGTTACCCCCTTCTAGAACGAGGACAACGGGGGCTCTGTTCGGCCTCTTCTTGTGCTCTGCGCCCACAAACAGACCTTGACCTTGCGTTTTGCAGCGGCAGGGCGGGCGCTCCCGGCCGGAGCTCCGCGGGCAGCAGCCGGGGCGGCGGGACCACCCCCCCGGTGCCCGCCCGCCACCGCTCACCCCCCCCCGGCGGACGGGAGGAAGCCCACCCGCGCACGCCGTGGCAGCACACAGCCGGGAAGTCACAGGCAGGGGACACACAGTTTCGTTTCTGACACTGGCGGGAGGGGAAGTTTGCTCCTTTAGCCCCATCCCGAGCCGTTCGGCGCGGCTCGGTGGCCTCGTCCCCGCCGCTCTCCCGCGCACGGCGCGGTGTTCCCCGCCGCGGGGAAGGGCGGCCGAGCCGCTTCCTCCCCCCTCCCCTCCCCTCCCCCCGTACCTTCCTGAGGGCCGCCCTCAAGTCATCGTACGGCGGCTTCTCGCCGCCGGCCCGCTGCCCCGGGCTGCGGCCGCGCAGCGCCGAGGCCAAGCTGGCCCAACGCCGGGCGCCGCGCAGCGCCATGGCCGCCGCGGCCTGCCCCGCTCCGCTGCGGCAGGGCGAGGGCCAAAAGCCGCGGCCTGGCCCGGCCGGCTATAAGGGCCGGTGCGGGCGGCCCCTGCGCTGCCCCGTCCCGTCCCTCCTCCCGCTCCTCTCCCCCGCAGCAAGCTACGGCAGGCTCTCGGGTTACAGGCAGGTTTTCTTTAATGCCAACGAACAGCCATGAAGCAACCGATAAACGGGTGGCGAAAGCGGGCGCCGCGAAGCCAAAGGAGCCGTCCCCGGCCGGGGGAGGAGGGACAGCCGCGCCGGGGAGCGGGGCGCAGCCGTCCCTGCCGAGCGGCCGGCGCGGGTCTCAGCTACTTTCGGGTTGGTTTCTTTATTTTTGTAAGAAACAAAAAAAAAAGAAAAAAAAAAAAATCCGCTCCTGTGCTCGTTCAACAAGGACCGGCGGCGGTGGGGACACGCTAGTGACTCCCTACGGGTACAAGAGTGTCTGCTCCGGTGGCAGGCGCTGGGCTTGTTTTCCTAAGCGATGACACAGCCGCCCTTCTCTTTGAAGGGGTTCTTGTCCTCGGGAACCCCCTTCACCAGCGGGTCCTCGCCCGACCGCTCCTCAATGTAGTTCTTGATCTCTTCGGAACACTTGGACACCTCGAGGGAACGAACAGAGAGCGGCAGAGTTACGGCTGGGGCTCCCCGTGAGCATCAGAACAGCAAACCTGTGAATTCACATCCTTCTTCCTCTTATTTACCTTCCCATCAGATATAAAAGATGGGACCACAGAGCCAGCACTAAGCTTGTGCAGGCTCAGCTTCCTTCCACTTTGTCACAGCCCGATATTCACAGAACGTGCAGGTATCCCTGGGGAGGTATATGCCACGAAGAACAGCAGTTGCTGCATAGTTAAACTTGATTTTTTAAAAAATTAGCCACTATAGTCTTACTAAGATGTGGATCACAGTCTCCCTTGGCATCACTATGGCTTACGGTCACTGGGTTCAGGATCAGTAACTCTCAATTCAATTTCAAAGTATTTATGACTTTACATGTTTTTCCCAAACAAAACATTCAGTAATTATTTTTCAGTGGTAATACAAATTCTCACCTTGCAGTTCTATAATAGCAACTGTGTGTCTTGAATGATAGTAAAGACCTGACCAGGAAAGACAATTTACTTACAGGTTACCTGGGGTTATTTTGAACAATAGATAATAAACCAGCCTGTGGTGTTATGAGAGAACATAAGATGCATGACACTTTGCATGGCGTTCACAGCAAACTAGCACTGATGTAGGTGAACCTGCCTGTGGAGAAGAAATGTGTTTAGTTTGTGTTCACTGAGACAAGAGCACATGCAGCACATGTAGTAACAGCATCTGTGGAACCTGAGGCTGCGCAAGCAAATCCCACCAGCTCCAGAGGATCCTTGTCCCACACACATCTTTTCCCTTCCCTGTGTCAGCAGAAACTCTCCTTAGGTGCTCGAACACCTGACAGGTCTGAGGACACGCTCCCAGCTCTGTCCCCACCTCCTCCCTTCCTACCACAGCTCCTGCGGAGGCCCGGCAGTGCAGAGTCAGCAGCAGGAACCAGCTGCTGGCCAGGCCGCAGGATGACCAGTTTTTCTAATTTAAGGCCCCTTGCCACCTTCATTAATTGTATTTTATTCCATAGGTAAAATGATGACAAGAGAACCAATGAATTTACCTACTGTATCACAGACCAACAGAACACAGGCTGTGTAAAATTAAGCTTTAAGCCATCAGAAAGAACTCGGAGTTAACTCCCAATTAAACGGTGCATAAAATAAGGTCTATCTCTAGCTGCCTTACAGCAAAGAAGAATTTGGACCTACAGATTCCATTACACATGCCCCGCAAACCCTATTAATTCAAATTGGGGCACATTATACCAATTACACCACAGTAAAGTTGTGCTCCAAAGTATATGCAGGATCAGGGTTTGTTTTACTTCAGACAGCAGTATCAGGATCTTTTTCACATACAGGAAAAAAATGTCTGCTTAAATACACATTCAGACATTTTTATTCATTCAAAAATTATTCAAAAGGTTATTTCCTCTTTGTGCTGTAGGGGTATAGGAAGGGGTCAAGAAAACTTTAGCTAAACATTTTTACTTTAGGTGACAACAGAGGCGTGGCTTCTGCATTTCCCTGTCCCTGTAACACCCATACAGGTACCAGGGGACTGTGACAACTACAACACAGATTTCATCCTTACAGTGAAACTTCTGTTATAATGCACTGCTAAAAATCAGGATGTTGTCTGTGCTTTACTAAAGGCAATTTGAAAATACCCGTTTCCCTAAGTGATCAGGCTTTTGGTTTATTCCAAAAATTTAGGAAAGAATTTAAAATTATTATGAAAATCAAAACCTGTACAACCTACAGAGTATATTTCAGTTGCTTGGGAACTCTCTGAGGGATGATATAGATATCTATAGTACTTGGATGTGGAGCCCTCGCTACTGTCGGAGCTTTAGACTATACCACAACATCTACAGTCACTGATGCCTAACTGACAGCTAAAACATAACTGTGGCTTTTTTATTTTCTGGGCTAAACACCTAGATCTGCAATGTAATTAGTGTGACTAATGTTACTGATTCCCACATACAAATGTATTTTTAGTCCTAACTAGAACCATTTGTTTAGATGTAGTTTGCTTCTGCTGGCATGCAGGAAAAAAAAAAAAAAAAAAAGAAAAAAAATGAGTTTTATCGTGGAGCAAGATCAGTTCTGCATGTCTTTCATCTATAGAAAATGTATAAAAGTACCAGAAGTTCTCTGGACACTCCTTCACCTGTGGGAAGGAGCAATCGGTGTAAATGACTGAAAGCGCAACGTTTCCATCGGACAAGGCTGAGTGGATCGTGGCTCCGCACCCGCAGCCCTGGGGCTCCCGCCCTGCCCGGGCTCTGCGCCGCCGGCCAGCCGGGGCGGCGGAGCGGGAACCGGAGCGGAGCGGGAACGGGGCGGGAGCGGGAACGGGAGCGGAGCGGGAACGGGGCGGGAACGGGAACCGGGGCGGGAGCGGGAACCGGAGCGGAGCGGGAACGGGGCGGGAGCGGGCGGCGGAGCGGGGCGGCCGGCCGTGGCTTCTCCCGCAGCCCGGCCGGGTGCGGGGCGGGCAGTGCGGGCCGGGCCAGGCAGCAGTGCCGCTGCAAGGCTTCCCGCCGGCGCATCACCCGCTTGCCGGCACCGGCAGCTCCCACCGCGTTTGGCGGAGGAGGGGAACTGAGTCCGAGGCGCTCCTCCCTCCCCAGGCAAGGGCGCCTTGTGCTGCTCCCGGGCCACAGGGAATCGCAAGGCAGGGGAAGCCACGGGGTGCCAAAGGCAGCGGGAACAGCCGCAGCTGGCGGGCCCCTCGGGGCGCTTTCTCCCGGGGGCGGTGCGCCCCGTCCCCCCTCGCTCCACGGCCACCCCCGTGAAGGACCGGCGCTCCTACACGCTGCTAGCGGTGGTATGTCGCCAGCGCCGTCCCCGGTCCGTGCCCCAAAAGGCGGGTGGCAGGACCCGTCGGTGCGAACTCCGGTCGTCCCAAAACAGCCGGGGCTCTCCCGGAGAGCGGCTGCCGAAGCCCCGCTGCTCCGGCCTCCACCGGGCCCGGCGCGGCGGGACGGGGAGCTCCCGCTCCGCGCTGGGCTGCCGCGCCCGGCCCCGCCGCCCGCCCGACGGGCCCCGGCCGCCGCATGAGCCCCCGCACCCCCTCCCGAGGAGTAACGGGCTTCTCCTGGCCCCGCCGTCCGCCCCGGCGGCCGGGCAGCCCCGGGCCCCCTCTCCGCGGCCACTCACCAGCTGCCGCTCCAGCTTCACTTCTTTGCGGAGCTGCTCCACTTCCATTTTCAGTTTGTCCTTCTCGCTCAGGTCCTCGATGTTGATGGCTGGCATCTTCTACACTGCCAAAGCACGGAGGGAAGGAGGGAGGAGGACAAAAGGTTACCTCTGGGCAGCCAGGGCGCCGGGGCCGGAGCCCCCGGGCGGGCGCGGGGTGGCGGGGCGGTGGGGCGGTGGGACGGCCGCCCCCGGCCCGCCCCCGGGCTCACTCACACGGTGCCGTCCGGGCTGTCCCGCTGCTCGGCTGCGGCGGCGGCCGCTTCCTCTCCGGCGCGCCTGGTACCCCTTCCCCGCGCCGCTCCGGGCTTTAAACCGCCACGCTAATCCCCCCCTAACCGGATTAAAACCCGCCGCCCGACCCGGCCCCGCTGCCGGGGCGTTGACACGGGCCCTGCCGGCACAGGGAGGGTCTGGCCGCCCCGGTGCTGCTCGGCCCCGCCGCCGCATCGCCTCGGCCCCCGCGGGGAGCTGCAGCGGCCCTCCGGTGCCGGCCTCTCCCCTCCGCTCCCTCTTCGCCACCACGGTGGGGCAAACGCAGCGAAGTCGGCCGGGTGTTTCGGCCCAGCAGTGAGGTCTTTCCTCCCCTGCCACCTCCTTCGGCGCCTCGCCATGATTCTTGTTTGCCTGTGCCACCGGCATCCCTGGGCTCTGTGCTCCTCTGCCCAGCAGCTAAGGCAGCAGCCGGTGGTTTGCATTCCTCGATACTCGTGCATTACAACTACAAATGGACGGGACTGAAAGGTAGAGAGGGGAAGGAACCGCAGACACAGCAGTTTTTGTAGGTAGGTGTCTCTGCACACTGGAGTTGCAGCTCTGTGTGAGAGGGCTGATGTGCCCGGCCTGCACTAAGTGTCTCTGGAGTCACGAAATTAGGATGGGTGGTGAGGGTGGAGCACTCCCTGTAAGAGGAGTGATGGGTTCAGAAGACACAGGAAGAAGGTAGGAAAGTCTTCTGTGGTTGAATATACTTTTGAGGTCTAGATCCAAAGAGCGTAGCTCTTTGGAACAGGGTACCCTCCATGAGTGTTTATACAGCATCCAGCATCTCTGATCCCAGCAGCTGCTTTCCTACAGTAACAGTGGAGGCAGAATTTGTGACGCTTTACACCGAACAAAGCTACAGGCCATTAAAATAGGCCTGTACAAGTCCTGTTATCTGGCACTTCAAAGGTCCTTATAGACAATCGCTCTTCCCTCTTTCCACCTTTGGCTTTTCCCCTTAAACACACTCCTTTCTCCTCCTCCACACCACTCACCAGCTGTAAGCAGCTGTCAGCAGTATTCGAGATTAGATCTTTCTTCTCCAGTGCTGCTCCTACAGTGCTCTTGGGGTTTGTATTTTGGTTTATTTTAGCCAGTTCACTAAAACCCAGTTCCTCCTCCCCTCCCTCTGGCTATTATCCCCCCCCTTCCCAGCTGTCAGTATGCAATTTCTACACCCCATAATCTACACTGGCAGCTGCATCCCCAAACCCCACCAGCTGCTGGTCCTGGGCCAGTCAAAAGAGATTGGAAGGAGCCAGGGCTCAGGGGAGCCAGGGCAGACGGTGGGAGCAGAAACCCTGCGGTGTGAAGAGGCAGAGAGCGTGGGGTGTGGTGGTCGCAGGCATGGGGTGTGGGAGTGGGAGTGAGCTGAGGAGGGGCTCTGGTGCACGGTTGGGTCAGGAAAGGACAGTTGCAGCTTAGTATCGATAACCCTGTAACGAAAAGCCTGCAGTGAGCTGTCTGCTGACATGCCTAGCAGATAGTAAAGGACTTTCTACCACTTGCTGTGCTTTTACTCTAGTTCATATATTTTTACAGACACTTACCTAATCTAAGTGAATTTCTCTGCTGTTACAGCAAAGGAGCAGCTGAAGAAATACTGTGCTGTGCTGCAGCATTGATGGATAGGTGGGTTTAGCTCAAACTTTGATTTGTATGTGTGCGTGCACAGAGGAAATGGAAAATATAGAAAATAGTATTTGCATTAGAGCATTCATTTTGCTGCTATTGTTTAAAGTGGTATTTCAATGACTTTGCAATTCCGACAAAATCTGATGAGAACTAAAGGACATCAGTCGAGTCATATTAAAATCACTTGAGAGTTTCCTAATATTAGAAATTTGTCCTTTTGATTTCCTCTGGAAATAGAAAAAGTATGTTGGTTTTTTGTTTGTTTGTTCCTGCCTACCAGAGGGACATAAGCTTTATTATAGTTGCTGTGCTTAATAAGCTGAACAAAACCCCTAAAAATGAGGACACCTGTTAGTAACAGCTGTAGATATAAGATTATAGAACATATCAGACGTGTCCTATGGTGATGCCTCAGACTGTACCAGGGTTTATTTTTTTTTGTCAGTGAGGCACCCACTTATCCTTTGACAACTGGAGATTCTGAAAAAAGGAACTGTGCTGGAGAAGGAGGTAGAGAGGTGCCACTCATACCCTCTCAGAACCCACGTAGGTGGCATAGGGATTAAATTTGCTCCTCTTTCTTGCCTCCATGAGAAATGAAATTATGTCAGAAAACTAGGTCGCATTCCTCTGTGATATAACAAAAGCAGGGAAGCCAGGGAGAGAAAGCCAGTTCCTAAAATAATCCAGGTGCTGTGAAGTTCCTCCTCCTTACCCTTGTACAGACTGTGGCTTCTTTCCTGCAGGCCACAGATTTCTAGGGCCCTGCATTGCAATCCTGCTTGAAGGACTGGGGCCCAACAGGGTTGCTGTAAAGGGAGTGGAGAAGAACAATAGGAGATCAGATTAGTTTATTGTTATCTATGGAGAGCACGCCTAATTTGCAGCCACTCTTATCTCTCTTACTGTATTAAATCTGGAGTAAACACTAATTAATGTAATGGCTCTAATAGATTAGAAAGGGAAAGTATGCTGCTTGCTGCTCACCCCCTGTACAACCCCAGATCACACCCGGTTGCCTGGTGGGGTTCAAATCTACAGAATAATGCAAGTCATGATGTTTCCTGAAATCCAGCTTTCTTTCAACTAGCCGGAGGTTTCATCCATCCAGCCCCTCGGGTTTCCCAGGAGTCCAAGCCCGCTGACGGTGCCTTGGTTTTCTCAGGTTCATTAGTGTTATACACAACGGTCTTAAGCTAATAACGTGGGTTGATTGGCATTATCTCCAGCGGCACTCGCCGAGCGGCTTGTGCTTGGCCCGGCTGGATCGTGACCCACCGGAGGCTCCCGGGTTTGATTTTCAGCATCCTGCCGCCCTCTGCCTGGAGCCTCCAAATGGGCGAGGGGGGAGAGGACTTTCGCTAATTGACCCGTCCCGGATTTCGCCGTGATTAACAGGAAATGCTCTTTGAGCATCATCCCGTAATGTGAGTGGGGCGAGGGGAGTGGGGTGGGGGGGGACGGGACGGGACAGCCGTGGACCCCGGCCAGCTCCCCCTACCCCCGCGGCCGTGGCCCCTCGGCCGCAGCCTGACGCCGAGCAAGCCCCGGCTGCTCCCCGCGTGGCCGCGGGCCCCCGCGACGGCAGCGGGGCGGGGGGCTGCCCGCGCCCCCCGGCAGCCGGGCTCACGCAGGCGCGCAGCCTGACGCGCTCCGGTGACGGCCGGGTCAGCGGGGACCTGCAGCCCCGCTGAATCAGACCTTCCCCTCCCACCACATGCGCAAGGAGGGAGGCGGCCCGGGGAAGCCGTCTCGGCGCATATAAAGCGCTGCCGTCGGGCCGGGCAGCGCCGCTGACTCCCGGGACCCCGCTGCCGCCATCCCTCCCTCCTTCCCTCCCTCTCTCCCTTCTCCCTCCCGTCCGTCCGTCCGTCCGTCCGCCGCCGCGACATGGCCGCCGGCCGCCGCCTCCCGCTGCCCGCGCTGCTGCTGCCGCTGGCCTGCGCGGCCCTGGCCCCGCGCACCCTCACAGGTAAGGGCGGGCGTTCGGTGGGACCCCGCGGGCGGCTACGCGGGGCCCGGGGCCGCCTCCGCCGCCGCGGTGGCTTCAGCCCCGGTCGCTGGTGTCTCCCGCAGAGAAGCAGCGCGCCTGCCTGCTGCCCCCCGACGACGGCCCCTGCCGCGCCCTGGTGCCGCGCTGGTACTACGACAGGTACACGCAGAGCTGCCAGGAGTTCACCTACGGGGGCTGCCACGGCAACGCCAACAACTTCCTCACCCTCGACGACTGCGAGAAGAGCTGCTGGACCATCAAGAGTGAGTCCGGGGACGGGCCCCGCCGCCTTCCCGCAGTCCCGGGGGCCGACCGCACGGGGCTCGCTTCCCCGGAGCACCCCCGGGGTGCCGCGGGGCTGGACGGGGGCCTGGGGGAGCACCGGGGAGGCTGCAGGGCTCGCGGGACTCTTCTCACCCAACCCATCAGTCCCTCCTGCTTGTCGCAACTTCTTGCTGATGTCAGTTTTATGCAGAGAAACCAGAGCGAGTTGTCTCGGAGACAGCACGCAGAATTTCACTATTAGTATTTTAAATGTAATTTAACATTATACCGCCTTGCTAATTAATGCATCAGATTCCTCTTGTAAATCTTATCCCACTTTAATAAAGAATGCAGATAGTGGGACAAGATGGGACTTGCCTGTGACCAGAGTAAGAGTGTTTTGTCTACACTACCATGTTCAGTATGGGGAGCACGAAGGATTGATTTTACAGAGGATGAAATACATATTTTTTTTGCAGAAGTGCCCAAATTATGCCGGATGGAGGCTGATGGAGGACCTTGCAGGAGTCATCTAAAAAGATATGCCTTTAACTTGAGCTCGATGAGGTGTGAGGAGTTCATCTACGGTGGCTGTTACGGAAATGGCAACAACTTTAGAGATTTGCAGTCTTGTGTGGACCACTGTCTGCCAGAGAAAAGTAATAGTTGTTCCAAATTTTTAATAAAATAGATGCTTTGAAAGCGATATGAAGATGATATTTTATTTGATATTTTCCTCTGGATGCAGTGGTATTTTCAAAGACTTCTGTGAAACAGATGTTTATATTGTTTACAGACTTTCGTGTGCCATTTGTTTCAGCTGTTACTGAAAGAGTAAAAATGCTGTGCTAGTTTAATATTGTGACCTTAAATATGCCCACAGCTGCACCCAACCGGTCTCGACTTCTAGAGAGCTATACGTGTGTAATCTGAAGGGAAATAAGGTTGGAGGTCTGTGTTGAGGCAAATGTACAAGACGTTGTGACAGTCACGTTGAAGGCAGTGCTATTGTACTATAAAACAGAAGTGCCTTTCTAAAATACAAGCCCGAGAGATGGTGTTAGGTGGCTTTGGGTTTTGGCACTTGCCACCTCAACTTCTGAGAAGTTTTTTGCCTGACATGACTCTTCACTGTCTCTGTATGAGCTTTAAAGAAGAGAGGTGCTAATTATGAGCAGGTGACTATAACT